CTGTCCTCTGAAGTGCAGCCCGGCTCAGAGCACAGGGGGGATCACAGGGCTGGTGGCACCGGGAGACCCAATATCCCAGTGTCACTGGCCCATAGCGCTATAGGGGGCAGCACTGGGGACATGGTGCAGGAGATGTGCCCCATCGGACGCCACCGCCCCAATGCCAAGCACTAAGGATGTGCAGTGGAGCAGCAGGGGCAGCAAAACAAGGAAGTCCCGAGGAGTGCCCAAGGTGGGCTTTGGGCCAGGCGTGGCACCCCAGTGGACTCCACTGGAAAACACTCATGAAGGTCAACAGACAGACCTGGAGCTGTTTGAGGGATATTCTTTTGTTGCTGTTGATTTCTAGGGTTTTTTTTATTAAATTTTAAATTCTTTGTTTTAGTTGTAAGAGCCCCCGATACCATGATTTTTTTTAAAAGAATAGTTTAATTTGTAAAGAAAAAAGCCTGCTAAAGGAAATTAAAATCATGTATTCTTTGGGGTAAATTTACTTGGTAAGAACAAATTGGTAATTCCACAAAATTATTTATAGACTTAGAGGGGATCTGGGTATGAAGGCTAAAACATTTCTAATGGGGCTACTATTAGGGTAGCATTTTACAATTGTAGAATATATGAAAGGAATTCAAAAAGCTTGTGGAAAATCAAATTGAAATATAATGGGACTTTTCCATGAACTTTTTAAAGTTCTGGCAAACAAGTTAATAAATAATTAGCCAGCCACATTCAGTTTAAAATCAACTAATTAAAATGTGCTTAGTAGAGATGTTTAAAACGATTGCTTCAATTAGATGTGGACATTACAAAATATTAAGTACATTGATTAATATAGATTTATTATTTTCTTGAAATGCTCCTTAATATTTTTCTTAATATAAACTTTAAAAATAAAATCTAGTTAAAGTTGAGTTAGAAGGGACAGTGGGCTGGCTTTTAGTAAAGAGAACTTTCACCTGTACCTCCACCAGTTGCAGAAGTGATTTTTCCTCTTCTGTCTTCAGTAGCTGTTCGTTATCGTCTCCTTTGAAATTATCACGGTAATGTGTTCTGTTGTAAGGGACTCTCATACTCTGAAGAACGCCTATCTTGTTTTCTAATAGACGAAACTGCAAACTCTGGAAGCCTGATGCTGGAATTAAGTACTCTCTTAGAGAATAAAGTAGGGAAGAGAAGAGACGATTAACATTACAAATCCCGATAGTGATTTCTTTACTTGCTCTTGAGAAAGGTTCACTCCCTTGGATACCATCAAGAAATGAAAAACAATCAAGCTCACTGTCAGTGAGTCAATGGTGGCTCGTGGTGACCCTATAGGACAGAGTAGAACTACCCCCATGGGTTTCCTAGACTGTAACTATTTATGGGAATAGGAAATCTCTACTGCTCAGTGGATGGATGGTGGTTTTGAAATAGCTCGTAACCACTAAGCCCAGGGCTCCTATCGTCCAAAATAGGAGACACAAAATGGCCAAGGGTATTTCTGATTTGGACTTACTAAAATAAAGGAAACCTACATAAATTTGTCTGTTGCTGTCAGTCAACCTATGAGTGTGTGTGTGTGTGTGTGTGTGTGTGTGTGTGCGCGCAGAATGTGTGTATTCAATGCTGTGACCGCTCGGAAATGGATCACCAGGACTGTCTTCTCTGGATGGTTTCAAACCACCAACCTTGCCCAAATACTTCACTGGCTTAATTCTAGATTCTCTTATTTTTCTTCTCAGATTTATGTACAAAAGAAAGTTTATTCTAAATGAAAATATGTCATTTCATTCCATTTGTTTTGCCTTCCATAAAATCTAGAGCTGGATTTCCTGAACTAATTCATAAATTATATACTGACACTCCACAAACGATTTCTATATTTTTAAAATTTAATTTCTTGTTATATATTATCTTTTTACATTTTTTGCCTAACATCCTCTTTGTTAAAAAAAAATAAGGTCCTTAATGAATTGAAAGCAATTGCTGATTGTATTTGTATATAATAGCTCTGAAAGGTACTTAATAACGTCTTAGTTTGCTCTTTATTAATTGTGCTTACAATGTCAACGTGTGTTTGTAGGATCCCCAAGCCACTGCCGTCAATTCTGATTCATAGGGAACCTGTAGAGAGTTTCTGAGGATATACATCTTCATAGGAGCAGGTAGCCTCATCTTTTGCCATCTGCATGACTGTTGGGTTTGAACTTGCACTTGGCAGCCCACTGCTTAACCCATTAAGTCACCAGGACCCCATATATGTATGCTCCTCATACCATATGCCATACATATGCTCCTTTGATCCTTAGTCTATTGCATTGTTTTTTTCAAAGTATAGATACACACCTGAAGTCATTGAAGTCCAAGGCTGTCATCGTTTCCAGAATGGAAAACTGCTGTACCAGTAGTTTAAGGATTGCTGCTATTCGGTGCATCCGAGAGACGATCTTGAGCATATTTCTTTCATCTCTGACCTGACAATTAAGAAATAGAAACAATGAGGACTCAGTGATAACTTACAAAGGAATCTGTTACTAACAATGCATTCCTACTCATTTTCATCTCTCTTTTCAATCGTATTCTAATGTATTTGGGTTACAAATTTACACAGCAAATTAGCTTCCCATACGGTAATGTCTGTTCCTATTCTTCAGTGACTTTGGTAACCCTTTTTCACAACCCTATCAACGTCCTCATTGTATCCATTCTTGTTATTTCTATTTTAAAGAGATCCTTGGAACTAAGGTCTGCCCACAGTAAGGCAGTATCTTGGCCTGACAGCCACTCTGAATCGTGTGCAAGAAAGACCTGCAAAATGAGAGGAATTTTTTTTCCTTGAAAAATCGAAAATTATATAGAAACAATTTAGAAGCCAATTCTGAAACACAACTTCCCTGATTTCAAGGCAAATATCTCTTAGTTTTGCTTCACAAAACGAGGGCTAAGGTGACATGTGGACCACTGGGAGAGGGGATGAAACACCTGAATAATCTGCTCTTTACCCTGGAGACAAAGTCACCATTGACGTAAAAGGGTGCCTGTGCTTACAAACATAAGCAGGCTCCAAGGTAGCTGACCTAGCGTGAAGCTCAAAGGGCACGGAGGGGGGGGGGGGGGTCCCAGGTTGCATAGAGGCAGAGTGGAGCTCAAACTTCTGCATCTGGTTCAATCTCTGATCAGATCAACTACCACTCTTTGTCCTCCTGTTTCCCTTTGCCCCTTTTACCCTTCCATATTTCTGGGCTCCTTGTCTTTTCCCTCTAGTTCTTCCTCTGGTTATTTTTTCTTTATCTTCTCTTTTTTTGTTTGTGTGGGTCTTTTTCAACTTTCTTCGTTATTGGTCCTATGTTTCCACAGTTGAGACTCATATTCATTAGGAATGCAATTCTGATATCTAGTGACCAAGTGATTGCTATGAACTCGCTTGAGAGTAATCATCCCTTACAATAATATTTTTAAGGGAAAATAAAGTATGAGTCCTAAACAAGGGGCTTGAACCTGAAATTTGAAAGCAACCTTAAAGCATGGTGAAGTTCCAGGCAGCAATGTCACTAAAAATCCCTGTCTAAACTCTTTTTTCTTTCAGAATGGTGTCTTTTTAATTTTCAAATTATTAACCTTACATGTGATGTTTTGATCATTTCATAAGAGTTCTATAGTCTTCAGAAAAATGCATGATGCCAAAACTGTGACACATAATAACTTACATGGCCATTTTGAAAGATCTCTCTAACAGAATCTAATTCCCAGAGGATTTGCTTGAACCAGAGTTCATATGCTATAATTAAAAAAAACACATAGTTATGGAGAGCTCTTTGAGTATCAGAAGGAATGAATAACACATTGAAAAAGACATGAAAATGAAGCTTCAAAATCAGCAAACTCCAACAGCACCCTATTTTAGCAATACTATTCATTTTATGCCAGAAATTAACATTAAGAAATGCATAGTTATTCCCATCGAGTATTAAGCCAGGCACATGATCTAAATGTCTTATGTTCATTATTGCTTTATTTATTTCTCTCAGCACACCTGAAATTTACATCCTCGAGCGATGTAACACCTAACTCAACTCACACATTTCATCTGAAAAGGAGAGTTACATGGGAAAGGAGACGTGATGCTCAACCAAATGAAAGACTGTATTGGTGGGAGACCTTGACATTTTAAAGTTGTTTAAAAAGTAGTGTTTTGTATAGACAAAGAGCAGTGGGTTGAAGTTTCAGATAAAACAACACTGACAAAATCCTAACATTACGCTCCAGGCTAAATCCCACGGGCAACTTTACCGGAATTGATCCAGCCTTATCCTCTTTTGTGATTTCCATTTGAGCCCAAGAGTGGTGGGTTAGACCTAAATGTTCCCAAAGAATTACTTTTGGAAGATTTACTCAGAGACTTTTGCTCTGAGTTTGCATTCCCTCTCATTAAAGGCTATCTAAGCAATAAAGAAGGAGGACATATCATAGTACATTGCAAGAAGCATGGTGGGAACTGGTTCATGGGAAGTCCGTGAACAATGTGTCCTGGCATAAGGAATTTAATTTCTCAGAACTTCAGTTCACTCTTTTGAAAAATGATCCAACAGTTCTTCTTCTACAAACAGAAGCCCACTATACAAAATATTATGCCTGGCATAAATGTGGGTGGATTCAGGTTTACTTTGGTAGCAGTATTGTGACAAATTTAAAATTCACAGAGATAATAGCTGATGCAAGGATTCGAAGGGGGTTTAAGAGATGAGTAGGAGGGAGATGAGAAGGGTGAGGGGATTTTGGGAATGAACAATGTAAGTGGGAGGAGGAATGAGCACTAGAACTTCAAGTGAATATACAACTAATTTTGAAAGCAATTTCATCATGGGGGAAAAGAAGAGAAAGAAAATATTCTGAAATTGATTGTAATGATAATTGTACAAATCTTCTTGACATGATTGAACTTTGAATTGTGCAACATGTGGATTAAAGCCAATAAACCGGTTAAAAAACAAATAGATGTGGGAGGACATCTTGATTCCTGTAGACTATTGGTGGAGGGCATCAAATACTTATTTCTATATGGTAATTACTGTAACACAAGCCTTCTGAAATCAAGAACTTTGTCACACACATCTATTTTCCCTCAGTAACTAATGCAATGTTTGGCACAAGGTAGGCAGTAAATAATTTTATTAATAAATGAACTAAATATTATTAGGTGAGTATAGCCCACTGTCATCAAGCTAATTCCAAGACAAATCTTTTTATATATGGTTTCTGGAGCTGTGCATCTTTAAGGAAGCAGAAAAACTCATCTTTCTCCCTTGGAGTGGTTTGTGAATTGGAACCTCCAACCTTGTGGTTAGCAGTCCAGTGCGTACTTGACAATGCCACCAGTGCTTCTTATTAGGTGAGTATGAAAGTCCAATAACAGAAAGATGTCTGACAGATGGAGAAAACAGTGGAATGGTCAATGATGCCATTTTACTTGGATCCATAATCAGTATCCATGGAACCATCCACTACCATCAAGTTGATTTCAACTCATAGTAACCCGATCGGACGGAGTACAAATGCTCGGTGGATTTCTGAGACTGTAAATCTTTATGGAAGTAGAAAGCCTCATTTTTCTCCCATAGAGCAGCTGGTGGTTTCAAACTGCTGACCGTCCTGCTAACAGCCCCACATGTAACCCATAACCTCACCAAGGATCTGTCAAGAAATCAGAAAGTATTTGCATTGGGCACATCTGCAAAAGGCCTCTTTAAAGTGTTGACGAGTACAGGCATCGCATTAAGGAGGAAGGGGGAAGATGAGGCTGTCTGCTTCTGTAGAGAGGTGCAGCCTTGGGCACCCACAAGGGCAGCTCACTCTCTCCTCTAGAATTACCATTAGTCATTATTGATTCTACGGAAGTCAGTTAGGAATAACATAAGCTCATGTAAATACACAAGAAATTCAAATGACTTTTGAAAACAATTTTTTAAGTCCCAAGTTAAAAAATGAGAAGTCTTATCTTGGAAATGCTTCATGAGATTTGGTCAGGAAGTTCCTCGGGCAAAACTAATTTGACCCAATTATCAGTAAAGGAACATCAGAACCTCATTAGAAATACTGAAATGAAGTCCTGTAAGAATGTGGGAGCTAACAAAATCCTTTCAAGCCTTTCAAACAATGGTGAATTCCTTTATCTTTCTCCATCTTACAGCAAAAGGAAGTGTAGCTCTCCTTAACCTTGATAAGAAATGCTGGTGGGGTAGTTTATTATCCATTGCTCTGTACATCTTACCTTGATGAGTTATAATAAAAAGATGCTCATCATGGATTTTGTTCCCGTTTATTTCACTTTGTAGTTCTTGTGCATTCAAAATTTTGTCCAACTTTAAAATGAAAATAGAAAGATTGATTATGAAATGGAAAACCCTGGTTGATAAACCTTAGCCAGTAGAATACATAACCAAAAAAGTCCCCAAATTCCCAAGTTTTCAGGAACCGACATTTTTTTTAGAAAAGTTATTATTGATTGAATCTGGTCATAAGGAGCAGATTGAGTTGATGAGTTTTATTCCTAGGTAAAAACAGCTTTTGGTAGGATTTTATCCTAGCAGATGCTATTGGACATTGAAAAGTTAGTCTCTGGGAGGCTATGCAAATGTGACAACATGCTTTGCTGACTACAGGATGCAGTCCTTTATTTCCCCAGAGAGCCGGCGTTGAACAGACCTGAATATTGTTGTTGTTGTTGTTTTTCAGTTTGGTTCTAGAGACCCATCAATGAAAGCATCAAGGACTTTCATTATTATTATTTTTTAAGAGAAGACAAACTGTATATTTGCCTATTCATTATACTGTATTCTAACATTTCTATCGACCTTATGTTTAGACCCTGGATCGCATGTACTGCTAGACAAGAAGCGTTTTACCTATATGGCTCCTGATTTAGTCTACCAAAAGTTGAAACAGCATGAATTTGGATGATGTTTTTAGATCCAGAAGACGATTTGACAACTAAGTAGTCAAATTAAAGAGAAACAAAAGCCCTGGAAATGTTGCTTTGCAGAATTAGGTGCCTAACAATGGGAGCTAGTCCTTGAGCCCTGCCACTTACATGCAGGTAGTTCCCATAGAGAAGTCCTCCTTTGCTGGCTTTATTCACACCACTTTGTGATTTCTCTTCTTCAGTGTCGACTCTGAAGAGTGTTTTAAAAGAATCTCTGTAAATTCCATACAGAAGAAGGAAAAAAAATAGAGCTTGAGATAACACTGCTCACTAACAAAGGCATGGAAAATTCTCATTACTTCTTAATTTCTTTTATTTCCAGAATAGATTATGAAACACACCAATAAAAAGTGAGTTTTTTGGTATTCTTTAAACTCAGAAATGAAAGCCTTCATACTTGTTACTTCTCAGAGTCTAGATACACTTAGAAGAGAGGTAAACACTCACCCGAAGCTATTTCCTAAAAATGGACACCCGCTCATTGCAAAAACTCCCAGTCTGAGCCGCAGAATAAATGTGTCTCCTAATAGAGCTCATTAATCTTCCCAGATGTTCCACAACGGCCTTTTATGTACCTAGCACCTCCTACACCAGCCAATTAGCACTCGTGGCCTCTTCTCCGGGTTCCCGCTTCACTTGGTGTTGAAGCGGAACTTCTCATAACCTCAGAGTGTATTATCTTGTTTGTTTGCAAGAAGGGGAAGGCTATTGTGCCAAATTAAATCATCTGCTCTGGTGTACTTGTTTTGATATCCAAAGTAACAAAGATTAGATAAATCAATAGAGAGCAAGGTTTTGTTTCTGTTTTTAAGCAGGCGGGGAGGGGGGGGATGTAATTCATGTTGATAAATTCACTTGGCAAAGTGATAAGGTATACTAGCATATAATGAATGAGGTGTTTGTAGAAACCAAAGAGCAATTTTTCTCACATTCAGTTAATATTGTAACTCTTAAACCAAGATCTGAATTTCAATTTGGGAAAATAAATTCATTGTATACTCGACACAGAATACAGGCTCAGAATCCTCACTTTTCATCAGCATTCTCTTAACCCAAGTTTCATCTAATAACAGCTGTTACATTCCCAACATAGTACATTTAAATTTAAATGGGTGCCATTTTCTGTACACCAATTGCTTATCAAAGTCAGGGAAGTGGGAGTCACCTATGCTGAGACACATAGTCTGTAGAGAATTTAAAATCAAACGTAGCCTATAATTCTAAACAATGTCCTTCGTAAAATTTCTTCCTAGGAAACATAATGTATTGGTGTTAGGTTCTGAACACGTTTGCTACCCAGACAGAAAATTGGGCAGACGCCTTGCCATTCTGTTCTTAGTACTGGATGGTCATTGAAAACTGCACATAGGGACAATTTGCATTTCTTGTGCCCCCTCGAATGTTATGTTTGGTCTCATTTACTAAAGTAATTAGAAGTTGGAAATCTGGTTTCCAGTCTTGGCTTTTCCACCGATCGCTTGTGTCATTTGAGTTAACTGATTTAGTGATTCCTCATTAAAATAAATAAAGGAACAAAGGTGGTTAAAATATATGATAATGGCAACATGACCATGATCCATTCTAAATCCTGCTTTAAATTGGAATATGTGTCATTCAAACCTTTACAGAACTAAAAATATGTTGTGAGAGAAATGGGACGTCATCAAAACAGAAATGACTCATATCCTCTTTGGCTTTTCACACATGACCTTGACTTGCTTTAGGAAACTAGTAGTCAGGATCAGTGTTCTTGGTGTCCTCCCACTGAGTTGCTGTAAGCAGACGGTGTCAAATATTATCTCTCTTCTCAATTTTACTGTTCAGTCATGCGTGTGTTCACAAAACGCTGTAGCTAAACAATATACTCTCTTCTTGGAATAAAAGCTTTCGGGGCTGAGAAATGTCCTTCATTTACTGCTCAGCATTCTGGTGAGAGAAATACAACACTATTTTATTCCTTCTAAATTAGAAATAGTCTTTTTTTCCTTTTTAATTGGATAGATTCAATTTAAAATTGTTTTTGTGGTGAAAATATTGTAACATAAAAGAATAGCTATCTTGAAATGAACAACTCGATGATGTTGAATAGAGTCACAATGCTCTGCAACCAATGTTCCGCCCAGCCGAAAGAACAACAAAAAACAACTCACGCCCATGAAGAAATTTCTCCCCATTTCCCCTTCTCTCTAGCCCCAAGAAGTACCAATCCGCTTAATGATCTTCCCTGTTGGGGGAAATTTCAAATAAATAAGATTATACAATATATATTTTGTGGCTGGATTCTAGCACTTTGAATAAT